TTAGGGGGTCTCTTAGATCTAAATCCGCAAGCGACAAGAAAATTATATTAGAACTCCCCAAGACTAGTAAACATTATAACGACATTTCACTTCATATTCAAAACACTCGGAAATGGAATTAAGTAGAGAGATGTCGATGGTTTGAGACGGAAGCCAGTCGATGTATTCCCGGTACAACATATGAGGTAGGCCAGTAATGCAATTAAGCTGTAAAATCAGACCAAGACCAGCATGATTAGTAGCTTGGCCTCCCAGGGTCCCAAACTGTAACCTCCACTCACCCTTTTAACCCCCAGTGGTAGATAGAACCTGTTATTGATGGTCAAGTATTAGCATACACAACTATAGACAAAAGTTACAATTATTCGTTCTCGTCTTGGCACATACGGATCCTTCAGTAGACCCTGCTGGTAGATATTTAGTGCACAAGGTTTGCCGTTAATTTGACAGACACAATTGACCCTTTTAAGTAATTGCACGGTTCAGTATGCATACACTATCCTCATTATAAATGGGAAATAAACAAGTACAACCTTTGTTTTTGAAACTATAAATCCAGCGGTTTTACGCAACTGTCCTTCTGTTTCGTCATTAGTTTTAGTGTAAGCCCAATTTAGATTTCCTACCAGTTGGCGCCTACTATCATCGAAGTTTCCAAGAAGGACGAAACAGTTATATTATGACGCCTAATTCAATTATAGTATACTGCATCAATTACCAAATCTAAAAGGTGCAATCACATTCATGTATGTGTATAACAGTGCTTGACATGTCATCGTGTTCATTTTGGTAATAGGTTGATGGCCGATATCCTGCGTTGTGTTTCCCTATCTATGTCAGTCATGGCAGCTGTTGCTAAATTGCAGTTGATGAACTAAAAGAACGTTGGTCTAATACGGTATATTCGAACAATGAATGTTTCGCGAGAGTATCGGTTGTGCTTCCGAACGTTTTTTGCATCAGGCCAGCGTCATATTGCCTGGTAAATGTTTAACCAGAAAAGCCGCGTTGTTAAATTAAATAAGACGATCCTATTAATATCAAATATTATGTTTGGCTTTATTTCAAATATTGATATATAATGAAATTAAGATACATGTTTACGAAGCAGACGATACTGATTTCTGCATTAGCTCACTGCATGAATTTATATTCGAAAAGATGAGTTTTATGTAGTTGTGCCAAAATAACTACATCGATTTGATATTCCGCGGTTTTCTGCTGCTTTTATTCATATCAGACACAATGACTTATACTATAAATGTGCTTTCAATTATTATAGATATATAGGCCATTCTGTTTGATATTTAGTTGATTTGAAAAAAATCAGGTACACTTCATTGATATCGTAGAGCAGAGAATCTAGAGAATATTCTTACCAGGTAACGAATTGATGTTTCACAACAAAAAGACAATAGGATTCGTCTGTCCAACATATAACTCATATCTAATATAAATACGGAAACAACAGGATTTGACTATCCAACTTTAAACTGATACTTTATATGACAGAGACAAAAGGATTGTCTAACAAAGCATTGATCTTACTTCAATGAAAATTCAAAATAATACACATTTATATTTCAATAAAATATTAGCTTCGCCGGGCTATACTATTCTTTGTGCATTACACGCTCTTTTTCAATGGAAATACATAATTGAACTCCTGCATCATCTCCTACTAACATATTTTGGGGTTGTTGTGTGCCAGGCTCATGGCACAGATATGGTGGTGTGCTCTCTTTGATAAAGCCAGCCGCACTCCGCCACTCGAGGGACCGGCTTGGAGATAGCAGAGCGACGGGCTCGACGTGTACGTGTATATAATGCATTTACATACACATTTAGCACTGATCAGCCCAATTCTGTCATACACGCAAATAACTCTATGCTCATATCATTGAACGGAACAATATTCGGTACAGCATGAGATTACCAAGAAATTTGTCGCTCCGTTATAGAGCAGTGTAATGCGGGCGGAAAGGGGAGGAATGGCAATCATTGTTGAAGATGAACTGGTAATTATGTGATTTGTGAAGGAGAATCATTTTCAACTTGTCTATTATTTGAATGAATATTATGGAGATAAGAAGCAGATACATGTTCGTGGTGGTGATGGACTTGGTTTGAAACGAGAAAAGCTAAAGTCTCTACCGCCCATTATCAACAAATTACCGGTGGCCATATTAAGCAAACTGACGTTCCATTTAATTAGACTGATATTGATTGCTCTCCGACCGTATAATGAGTGCAAGGCGATGAATAACAACTTCTCGATAGAGTTAATTTTGTCTCATTTGTCGTCAAAACTGTGCCAAACCCTAACGCTTCGTCTAGAGATTGGACGTCTTTAAATCAAATGGGAAACATTTTATAAAGTGAGTTCGTATTATACAAATTTTCGAGCACAATTGCTAATGGAAAAAAGGACTTACAAATTTTGCTCCGTTAGCTTTTGTAACATACTTTGTAATATGTTTCATCGATTTTTATTAAAAAAAAATACATGTTTAGTTTTTATGCTTCTTTCATTTGAAAGAAAATGCTTATCATTTCTGAGATGTCAACATTTTCCTTAACTTCCTTTTTACACACGGAGACGTATTTGTATGTCGCGTATAACACTATTGTGTTAAATGTTTTGTTATATGATTTATCCATCTCCGTTTGATATTACGTGGTCAACTTAAAGCATTTAGAATCAGGGCGTATACTTCAAAGCAGTATTTGACGCAATGCCTAATTGCAACGTGACTACGTTACATGTGCAATGCTATCAAAACTAATTGATCAACAGTATTCAGTCAACAGGTTGTTCCAATGTTTGCATTCGCAACAACTCTCTCAACAGGTGTTCGTATTGTGGGACTAGAAAATAGCTAGGCATCACCCGAGTACTACATATTTAGTCATTTTGATCTCTGTGGAGTATAACATATAGATAGAACATACAAATTGACAAAAATATATTGCAAGGGAGGCAACTGTTACTACATCTAATAGCACATTACTTGTAATGATGTTGTGTTCGTTTAAACACACCGTCATAAAACTTGGTGCGAACACGGGCATTTAAGCCAGTAGTCTTACATTGAACATACAAACATAAACCTTACTCAGTGCTTGTACAGAACACATGTTGTTGAATTTGGGTATACACTTTGCTTGTATCAATTCGCTATTATCTATCCCCTCCCGTTATCTTTATTTTCCTGTCCAAGTATTATAAATTAGAATACAGAAGAAGAGGGAAAGCAAAGGTACAAATTGGTCTCATAGAATTTGCACGTCAATAATCCGAAAAACTGGTGACATATTCTGCCGATATTGCTAAAGTATGTTTACAAAAACAAAACAAAACAAAAAAACTTTTTTTTTCTTCTGATTTTGCTCTTTATTTAATGTTAAAATGTTATTAACTGAAATCCCTGGGATTTTACAAATATGATATTTACGCCAGAAACATAAACTGAACCACTCTCTTTTTTACGAAATATTAACTCTGGAGCTTTGATGCATGTGCTTCACTTATTAACAACGTTAAGATCTAACAGCGATGATTTTGGATATCAGACATTTCTAACAAATAAAAAAAAAACAATTCGGAAAATTTATCTCTATTCGAATGTTAAGGGAAGACGAAAATAATTTAATGCATCTTTTATCTCTAAGACGACCTCCAGTCCAAATGTTATTGCAAACCCTGGCATTTCTTATCGTGTTAACTGACGTTACTTAAGAACGCTGAAAACCTGAAAAACATCGTGAATTTAAAGAGAAATTGCATAACCAGAGAGTTGCTCTCGTTTGTGGTACTTTTTTTTATTCGATTTAGATAAAAGTTAAAACAATTTTAAAGACAAAACATCAAAAGGAATTTGATGTTGTCGTCAACACACTATGTTGATAGAAAGTGTTATATTAGTTCAATAATGAGTGTAACCGTCAAATATATCGTTGACTACCTCTAATTAGTGATAAGAAGAGCAAATGAATATTTCATTTCGAAATTTGTGATAACAGGATAACAGTTTTCCTGATACCAATAGTTCAAAACAGCCTTCCGATCGACAACAAATATCACGACAATCAGTCGACACGAAACATTTCACTTTGAAACGGTTGTCAATGTTTATCTTTGTAATCTATTTCACATGTTAAAGTGAAACCGTGGATCTCAATCTGTCAGATGTATTGTCAAAACCACGTCATTTGTCACCAACACAGCAGTACACGTCAGTCATAGGAACCGATATGGAGGTTGTGCAAGATTCTTGCTTCTTTAACACTGTGTCTCTGAACTATATTTAGACTTGTGAAGTTTGTCGTGCTTGACATTTGTATAAAATATGAAACTAATTGTCATGTATGCATTCCTTAGATAGAACATGAACATACAGGTCTTCGGCTCTAATACAATTAACATATTATAATTGATTTGATACTCAAAGGTATCAGGATCGCAACAATCATTGCGCCACGATGACCAGAGTGTATCCAGAGTTTCTACCGGAGGAGCTTTAATATACGATGAGGAAATTAAATGATAAAGCGATAGAAGGCGTAATCACTAAGATTGTTAGTACAAGCCAGTACCTTTTCTTCATAATTTTTTCTTAATTGTTCAAGATGCATCCTTAAAATGCCACCATCTGGTTCGGGAAGCACTTATCCTCGTTAACAACGTGTTTCGTATTCAGTTTTGTTGGTATTATGGTTTAGTTTTTGTGCTGTATGTTCGTGTCACTGTGTTTCTTATTATTATTTATTTTTTGTGTACTAAGGTGTGTTTTTTTTTTTTTTTTTTTTTTTTTTTTACATCTGCTTCATTTTTTATATTTTGCGATTTTAACCTGCAGTTTTATAACAAAGCAGGGTTCTTTTTTTATATGATTGACAATGTAGGACCGTACATAATATTTGTATAATCTATGATAGTAAATGATCGATCAATAACTGAAACAATTTAGAAAATAATGATATTTTCTTTGATTTTGTAGAATCTGAATGCGTCGTCAGTGACGGGACCTCATTGTCGGAGAACCAACCACAAAGGATAAGCACAATGGCCTACAGGACTAATTCCACACACAGTCCGTATGATATGATAGAACTGAATGCGCTGGACACATATGAGAGTTCCTCGTCGAATCTTGCGTTGAACGACACACACGAGGATGAAATATCTACCCTAGTAGCCTTCAGCAAACGATACGCCCCACTTCACGGATACATCAGTGTCTTTGTTTGCGTATTCGGAATAATTGCTAACGTCGCAAATATAGTAGTACTTACGCGAAAAAACATGATAACAACGACAAATATTGTCCTTACCTGGCTTGCAGTGACGGATTCCATGAAAATGTTGGATTACCTGCCTTTTGTGACCTACTTTTATATTCTCAAGGAAGATGACTTGGCTTACTTCGCCTCGAGGAGCTACAGTTGGATGTGTTTCCTGTTGTATCACGCCAGTTTTAGTATTGTGTGTCACACTGTGGCGATATGGTGTACCATTGTGCTGGCAATCATGAGATTCCTCATCATCTGGTTCCCAGCAAAGGGCTCTATGTGGTGCAGCCATAGACGGGCTAAGATATCTATCGCAGTTGTATACGTATCCGTTATCATTATATGTATTCCAAATTTCATGATGAATACGATGACAACCATTCACCGAAACGTTACAGACGCACAGGGTAAGATGTATACGGAGATCATATACCACTCAAGTGTACGGACTACGGGGGAGTTTTCCGTGGTCAGTGATATTAACTTCTATATCCAGGCTCTTCTGGTCAAGCTTGTCCCCTGTGTTACATTGACCATATTCACAGTGTTGCTTATTTACGCCATGCACAAGGCTTACAAAAAGCGTATAGCACTGAAAAGTCAAGGAAAGAAAGAGGACGCAGACCGCCATCACGAACACAACCGGACCACGGGGATGTTGCTGGCCGTTGTCGTGCTGTTCCTCATCACCGAACTTCCACAGGGCATGCTCACTCTTCTCATTATCTTCATTCCATCGATTCAGCACAGTGTGTACAATCCACTTGGAGACATTCTCGATATCGTAGCCCTGTGTAACAACGCCATTAACTTTGTGCTGTACTGTAGTATGAGTACACTCTTTCGTGACACATTTGTCCGAATATTTTGTACTTGTTGTCCGAAAAATCGTCCAGGTTGGTCTAAGACTAAGCTCATTACAAACGGAAATGGAAGAAAGTATAATTCTACGCATGATGGTACGACTACCACAGACGTATAGACTAATGAAACAACAACAGAAGCAACGTCTGTTCATGGTTTCATGAACTGGAAAGTAACACACATGGCTGCTTGGACACTTAGTATCGCTTAAAAAGCATTTTCAGGTTTGCTTGTACATGTACATACAAATAAGAACGACTTGCGGTTGACATTGTGACTGCCATCGCAGTGTGAATCTTGGAGTTTTTATCTATGAATCTACGTATTTGAAAGGCTTTAGCCCGAATATAGGATATTATCTACCCACTAAAGGTTAGTGCAGGACAGTGTACGTGTCTGTCTCACCCGATTGAATTTTTAACTGATTATAGTCGGACTGACATATTTCAAGGGTTAATGAAAGGTGAGTGGCAACAATTCAGGAAATTAAGAAATGAGCCCATGTTTTCTATCACGAGACCGTGTGTTCCTTAATAGAAAATGTTTAATAATGAGTAAACAGACAATAATTTATACAAATATTTAAAAATACGATGTTCCAGCTTCACCATCCCCAAACAAACCACATCCAAACAAATTGGACCTACCATTTCGACAACAAGATTTCAGCTTCATTTGTTATTTTAACTCGGTCATCTCGAGATTTCTTGAAATATGTTCGCAATAAAATGGTCTTGATTAATAACCTTTGAACGATGTAGACAGAGAAATTACAAACCTCGGTATAATGTTTTCTATCTTAAAAATCTTAAAGCAAAGGTGAACACAATTAACCGTACCATCATCAAATATGTGAAAAAAAAGTGTTGGTGTTACTCTGGTTACGCTGCATAAAGTTATGACGCGATTATGACGTAGAATACTACCGCTTGTGAGCTGTTTTTGTCCAAGTAAGTAAGGACATGTTATCTTTTCATTAGAAAAAACGCGAATGTCCCTGTGAAGTGCAGAAGAAATCGCGTATGAGTAATAGGCATATGACATAATACTTTGAAACAGCAAAGATTTGTCCCGTTTGGTTAAGTTTCCCCCTTTTCGCCTTTGCACACGATTGGCAATATCAAAACCAGTTGAAAAAGCCTTTACACATAGCTATAAATGGCAGTACTGATATGTGTCAAAAGTAACAAGGTATTCCAATCTGTATGTTATCCGCAGTTACAATAACTACATTATCATACGTGTCCCTTGCTAGCTTTGGCATCAGACTTATTGTATTGATGAAACATTCTCCAATAAACATTTGTATATATATCATTGAAAACTGTGTCGCATAAACTCGTCAACTATTACAGGTAAACGATCAGGACAGCGACCGTGTATCACCTATCACAAAGCTATCTACCATCAGTATTTTATCAAGTCTATCAAATATTTTAATTATCTGAATCCACGCGCGATTTCCGTTCTTATCATAAACAACACTATCGGATAATGATATTCCCGGTGTCTGTATAGCGTTTATTGTTATCCCGGCCAATAATTTGTCAACAGAATACTGCAGCATAACAGGTACTCATGAGTATACATATTTGAGGCACACAATGTATACTTAAACTGTACATAATGAACTATCCACAGACCGCAACGCAAGAATGTGGACAATTCGGTTCCATGTATAACACACATCTCTCACACAACTCATGTGTCTTAATTGGCAGCGTTATACTGATAACAAATGGCATACATTTAAGTTACTCATAAAAACAATCACATTGCGCAAATTGAGATAAGTTTAAATTCTGCAATCCTATTTTTCTATTGACAAAGGGCAAGTAGACCATTGATTTGTATTGTTCTTTTCGAGTAAAAGAAAGAAAACAAACACCATATTATTTATACTCAAGGGCCAAAATCCGAACTCCAAATCAATACAAAAAAGGCAAAAATAGGAAATCTTGATATATTATATATAAATGTAGGACATTGTAAACGGAACAAATACTGCGCCTCCACATCTGTTCTATTACCCAGCATTACGCCGAGCATAGAACATTGTATGTAGACCGTCACAATAATGGAAACTCAAGCAATTAGTGTACATAGCTTATCTTTTGTATATTTATTTTCATTTTCGTGGGTGGTTTACTATGTCGTGGTATGCACATTCTGGCCTGTATCAAGCACATCACATTTCGTTGATTCATGTCATTATAGTAATAAATTACATGGATATGGAATTTCATGGACTTTTGTAATCCAACGAACATTTGTGATTTGACTCCATCAGTCATGCTGTATATACTGTTATTTTCTTAGTTTTCGCAGATACCTGGTTTTTTTTCCATTGTGCTTCAAACTTCACTCGCAAATTGTTTTTCACCAAAAGAACAATAGCGTGCATACAATAATGTATACTAATGCATAAACAGTCATTATTAAAAGATCAGCATGCAAAAATATTGTTTTAATTGAATTCGTCTCTCGTTAAGTATCTTTTTTCGAGTTATAAATATGACTTAAAGTATATTGATATACATCACACTTTCTTTAATTATGTATTTCACGACCGGACATCAATCAAATTATTACGTTAGATATTTCAACCACCAGGTACGAATTGTATTGTGATTTTCGTCAGGTGTGATAAAAAAGAGATCAATTTATCAGTTTACAGCCTTTTTGAATCGTAAAAATTACGTAAGAGAAGAAAGTAAAGAAGACCGACGGGAACACTTGAGAGTTATACAATAATGTAACATATACACGTGTAAATTTATGTGCACATTTCTTTGAATTGTTAACGTTCTAGTGTTAACTTGCTGTAGCATCAGACACCAATGAGACCCCAGGAACATTAACAACTCTCCGATGAATTACAGATTGCAAATCTGAGAATGTATCTATGAATTCGTGTATCGTTCAAGAAGATTTTGTACTGTATCAACATCTCAAGAAAAGGAAAATAAATGAGAAGATAAAAGTTAATTTCCCTGGGGCCGAAATGGTATGTAGTTTATGTCCGTGGGTTTGAACGAGCACTATTGTACTAACACCTGAGGACCATCTGGGGTTCATTGTCATAACCATTCACACTGTCCATGTGCTATTTATGTAGAATAAACATGCATAGGAAGATTACCGGTTATTATGTCTTTTTTTAGTTCCATTGATCGTTCAATCATGTAGTCATAAAAATATTGTATTTGTCCATTCTTTAAAACAGATTTATAGACAGGAGAACAAACAAAATCTGAATCTTTAGTCGGTATGGAAAACGATATAAATATAAAAAAATATATATAAAAAAAGGACATCAAACAAAAGGAAGACAACTTCACGGACTGATATAGCACCAAACCAACAAAAACTAAATAAAAAACAACATAAAAAATACAGCAACACGAATGAGTACAGCAGAAAAACAAACCGACGGAAAACGTTATGAAGTGAGAACACATCAAAACAAAAGGAGAGACATCATGAACCAGATCAAAAACCACTTGACTCTTACAGATTTTGTTCCCGACAACACATGTGGAACCCATCAGAAAACCTTAATTTGAGACAGTATCACCAACGACCGAATGAATGATGAACGTCTTTAATAAAGTAAAAATTGCTTAATGATGTTGGAAGTCACCCCATGCTTATCTATGCTTCTCAGCGAAGAGTGTGTCATTTCCGGTAGACAACCATGGCTTAAAAATCACGAAACCTTTTAATTATCTTAATACCTTGAGCAGAACAATATTGGAGTAGGGTAGGAGAATCTTGAAACCTTGAAACCGAATATCATTTCTTTGTGTAGAATTAAATTTCCGATTGTGTAGTAATATTTCAATAAATAGTTTGAGTAAAAAAAGATTTACTTCTTGTATAATGTAGTGTACATTGTAATTTATTTTCGACATACTGCATACACATTGTATTACCAACATTGTATATGTGCCATCATCTGTGTGAGAGTAACGTTGATATTGGCATGAGAAAGTTCCATGTATACGGGGACGGGTTTATTACACAATGTAATACTGAAGAGAAAAAGCCTAGCAGTTGTCAATAACATGTTGTCACAATTGTAAACGGCACTGTAAGTATTATGGAGATTCCAGTAATTCAAGAACGGAACATTATAAATATAGCTATATAATCGCATTAATAATCCATTAATGTTTATCATATCTTGTTCATTTCAAACAACACAAAGGGTCAACTGTGTTGACCACGTCTGATGCACATATGTTAGATATACTGTATTATCGAACAGCTTTGACTTCGGAAATGGCATTGTCTACGTCTTCCAATACAAAAAAATTTAAATAATATAAAAATTATAATTAAAAAGAAATAAAACATCCACTACTAATAATAATAATATAAAACTCAATAAACAATATTATACATTTGTTGACTGGATTTGAGGACAACATGTGTTATGTTGAACAAGAGGACCAAACTGTTGCCTGAGGCCGAAGGCAACAGTTTGGTCCGAGGGTTCAACATAACACATGCTGACCGAAAACTCAGTCTATGAATGTTTTGTTTCTGACGTTTCCAATTTGGATTTATCTTGAAACCAATCCCGAGTTAATGCGTTATGCTTTGCTTCAATATACTCTGTTATTAATTTCTCTGCAACTCTGATCACATTCTTTGTGTTTGTACTGTCTCTGTAATTAAAAATTTCATCAATTTCTGCAGCAGTGTATTCCGAAAATCTGTATATGATTGTACATAAGGCAGCCGACATACAGAAACATTGCAGACGGCCGGAAGCAGCAGACGGGGGCAAACTTCCTATAGGAATGCCACTAATGGTAATTGCTTAACGGCAGATGTTGCCGAGTAATGGCCGGGAAATACCGAATATTAATGAGCTGTGACGTAAGCAGTCAACATTTCACTCCAAGCCAGTCAACATTTCGATGTTGACCGGTCAACATTTTTCTGAGGCAAACATCTGGAATTTCGAACTTGTTTCACTATAGAAGAGTATAGAGAATAAAAAGTAAAAGTATAACAATTATATTTGATCTTGCTAGACTATTACATAACGTGAGTAAAACAAATCTGTGAGTGCTGCATCATTGCAACACCATTAGTATTGTTGTTTTTTAGTCTTAAATAGAATATATATACTATGTCATAATAGTCACATTTGGTGATGAGTGATTGCTCCCAATCACAGTCACTGTTAAGAAACGGAAGTAAACGGTATATCAGCTCTGATGAATCCAAGTACATGTATATCAGCTCATAAAGGCAAAGGTAGTGTTTGAAGTATAATCGTACATCGAAGCCAATGTTAGAAATAAATTGTGTCTACGTCGGCTTCTGATGCTGTAAAATTCATGACTGTCATGTATGTATACGCTTTCTACCGTTCAATACATATATGTGGTGTGCTTGATGTAAAATGACGATACGTCAAATTTATTAGATTGGATAATATACTACCCCTAAGGGATTCACCTTATGTCAATTTTTTAAGATAACATACTACCCCTGATGGCGTCCTAGATCAACAAATACCGGTGTTCACCTTTTGACTTTTGCTTTTACATTTTCGATAGACAACTGTTAATCAATACTGTATACAATGTAGGAATACTGAAAGCCAATACTTTATATAGATGTATGTATCGTAAAGCAATAATGTAAACAAATTGAACTACATGTATCTTAAAAAGACGAGTTGGCTTAAGGCTGCAGAAAACAGACATGGTGGATCGCCCGAAATAACATTCGCTACTCGATCATAAACCAATACCTAGTCGCAACAGAATACGTATTCAATAACTTGCGAATGGGAAACGAAGTAAAAAATGTAGGATATGTCAGAAAATGCTCTCCGAACGTAGCCTCAAGTATATGGAATGCGGCTGGTACAAATACGCATAAACATTGCACCTACATCGTAACGTCTGAATATTCTTGTACAAGAATACAAGGTTCTACGTCGGGGAGATTTCGTCTGGCGTTGTCCTCAATTCAGAATCATCAACAAAAATACACAAATAAATACTAAAGAGAAATGCAACACATTAATGAAAGATTTTGGGAAGGATATCGTATATAGATAAAAGTTAAGACGAATGATGTGACGAAGGCATCGTAAGGCAAACATTTACGAAAGAGATTAGTCCAGTAGCGAGGACTACGTGCGCAAACGGGCTATTGACCAAGGAGGGACTTCAACCAGTACAGAGACATCATATGTACAAACGTTAGATAATGTGATGTAAAAAGTTACATGGCGTAAAAAGAGGGAGAAGTATAATTGTATACACGGTGGACATGAGGGAGTTTTAAAGGAACGAAAGTAGCAAAACCTTGAAAAATAAAGATAACATTCATAACGTGATTTGCATTTGAAGGACGAATGCCACTAACATCAATCTAGCAGTTATCAGAAGTCAAGATATAAAACATAACCGCGGGATCATTGCAGCAGAAAATCGAATGTTTCTCCTTTTCAAAACAACTGAACTGCATAACAAACGAGATTTGAAAGGACGAACGCAGAAAACACGGAGAAAACTAGCAACGGAAATAAAAATTTACTTTCGGAGTATTAGGCCTTCATTTGCATGAAGTACAATGAAAATGTCAAAGAGCCAATCTGACAAAAAAAAAAAGAAAAAAAAAGTGGTTTTACGGCACAATAAAATACATACTGAATTACAAGGCATAGCGCGAAGATTTTGAAAGTGTTTTAGCAGATCCATTTAAGATCGTTTTGGGAATCATCGCGTGATTTAATGGTGCATTAACGGTGCAGCCTATTTTTTGTTATTTTATTTTTGTTATTTGAGATATTTATGTATACATTATGTTGATTATGCATCACCTTTCTTTCTTTACGATTATGATACATGTACTCACCAACATCACATCAAACGATATCCCATTCGAAATTATTTACTATTTAATTAATAATACAAATGAATGCCTTCGAAACACTTACATACCGTTAAACGGTCAATATTGTTTTCACACAGAAAAACTAAAGTGAATGAATCTCTTTTGCAACGTTTTTTTTTAATGGCCCTTTATATATTAATACGTTTAAAGCAAGGTCATAAGTACACAGCGATTTCATACTTTTAGCCACAACATTTTGTAGAAAAAGGAATTTCGACGGAGACAAGATTACTGCCATCATCACAAAGTATTAACACATCCATATAATTTTAGGATGTACTCCTCTGAGGAGTCAAAATATTCCTATAATAAACATTTTTAGTATTTAACGGATCAAAAGAAATCGTGTTTCTCTTTCTAAAACAGACACAAAATGGCGGTCGGTTACCTTTTGTTTGTTCCATTATCATATATATCATTTTTCATCTTTATCGGGATCAAAAATCAAAAGTGCCTCGGTTACACTAAAAATGTAAAAACAAACACCAATAATGTATAATTTTCCTCTTTGTTGCATATTAGTTTCATCATATTGAACATTATAGGAGGTAGTCTAGTGGTATGACGCCGGACTCGTGACCGAAGGGTTGTGAGGCGCGGTAGTCTAGTGGTAGGACGAAGGACTCGTGACCGAAGGGTTGTGAGGCACGGTAGTCTAGTGGTATGACGCCGGACTCGTGACCGAAGGGTTGTGAGGCACGGTAGTCTAGTGGTACTGTATGACGCCGGACTCATGACCGAAGGGTTGTGAGGCACGGTAGTCTAGTGGAAGGACGCCGGACTCGTGACCGAAGGGTTGTGAGGCACGGTAGTCTAGTGGAAGGACGCCGGACTCGTGACCGAAGGGTTGTGAGGCACGGTAGTCTAGTGGTATGACGCCGGAGTCGTGACCGAAGGGTTGCGGGTTTGAGTCTCGGCACGGCACTGAGACGACCTACGAACTAGGTTGTGATAAAGAAGTATATAAGAACCTCAAAGTATTATTATTAATTATTATTAACAGATAAAAATCAAGTTGTACAACAAAGACGAATTTGTTTCAATTAGAAATAGCGACACAATGAAGATTTAGGTGATCAATCTAGTGTCAAAAAGGCGTAATTTTGGCCTTTCGAGAATCGCAACAAATACTCACTTTCCAGCCGCCGAAACGTTTTCTTTCTTGCTTAGATCGGTCAAACATACATTTGATGTAATATATGATTTTTGATGAAATGCATTCGTTTGAACGAATTCAACCAATATCTTCCAAATGTGTCGCCAGAAATCTATGAATGTTT